GATGATGATGATACATGATGATGATGATACATGATGGAGATTATGACTATTTTACATACCTGGTGCAATAGTATTCACCCTTATTCCATGCCTTGCTAAATCTCTTGCAATCGGCAAAGTCATACCAACTATACCCCCCTTAGATGCAGAGTATGCTGCCTGGCCCATCTGCCCATCAAAAGCTGCAACACTAGCAGTGTTGACAATTACACCCCTTTCACCACCCTCAGTGGGTTCATTTTTTGCCATCTGTTCTGCAACCAGCCTTATTACATTGAAACTTCCTGTGGTATTCACCTGGAGGTCAAAATGAAGAACACACTTTGAGTACTTTCAGAAGGGAGTCACAGTCAAACAAAAGATTCTAGAGTATGTGGTTCCATAAAATATCCAACAGAGTTGCTCAACCAAGCAAAGCCCAGCACAAACAAGCAAGCAAAATTAATGCAAGTGATAAGAAAAACAAGCCAAATATTTGGCCCCTGCAAGTATATTCCCTGCAACAGTATCAAGACCGCTGACCAACTAGCCTGAAGTTTAACCTTGCTTAAGTTACATTTATGTTCCATTAAAATATCCATGCCCTTCATGGAAAGTAAAGCATAATCCCAGACAGAACCATATAAAGTAATGGAAAGAAAATACTAGAAAGTAATTCCCACCCAAGCCCTTAGAGTTTACAGTTCTTTGTCACTTTGAGCTTGTATGGGTTGGGTATGGAGGTGTACCCTCCTCAGACCCTCCTCTGACCCTCCATACCTCTGCAAACTCCTCTCCTATATTTGAGAAGTGTGGATATTTTTTGAGCAACAAATCTATATTTACCTTTATGACTTTTTCAAACTGATCAAGAGGATGTGCTTCACCAGCCTTGGATAACACTTTGACAGCTATGCCAATACCTGCACAGTTAACGGCAGCATTCAATGGACCATACTTATCATTAGCCACCTTAATTGTGTTTTGGACATCTGCCTCTGAGGTAACCTATAAAAATGGTTAAAATAAGCAAATATAACTAGAATAAATACTGTGTATATCTTCACATTTTATTGGTATGCCAAAACAACCTCTAGACTTATCAAAGTCAGGGCATGGCTAACTCACAGATTGTACCCTCAAACAACCTCTAGACTGATCAAAGTCAGGGCATGGCTAACTCACAGATTGTACCCTCAAACAACCTCTAGGCTGATCAAAGTCAGGGCATGGCTAACTCACAGATTGTACCCTCAAACAACTGCTAGGCTGRTCAAAGTCAAGGCATGGCTAACTCACAGATTGAACCCTAAAACAATCTCTGGAATAATCAAAGTCAAGGCATAGTTTACTCACAAATAAAATTGGAATTGATGTGGTTATGTTTGCATAGGGAGGAAAACCAGAGACTCAAGAGAAAATCCAATGAATCAAGGGAAAGACCTAGCAAACTCTACTCCACTGAGACCCCAGAGGTGACAATAAGTGCACTACGGCTATGCCACCCTAGACTCCCTAATAAATTACACACCATATCAGGGTATAGTATGCCTAAAATATTTTCAGATAAACTTACCCTTTTAAAATACCCCCAACTGGATGATCTCTGACCCCCCTCCCCCAACACACACACAAATAACGAAAAAATGAAAAAAAAAATTGTAAATGGACAATATGTCAAATTACTAACTCAAAAATTATTGAATTTCAAAATTAGTTGTAGTGAAATCTTAATTAATGAAATTGTTAAAAAACTTTTTGAAAACTTAAGATAAAAATTTACTAACATCGGTAGGGGAAAATGTGCAATTTTCTCCAAGTTCTTTAGCAACGACTTCCCCCTCACTGGAAGGTAGGTCAGCTATGACAACCCTAGCACCATTTCGTATTAATCTTTGAGCTGTGGCTTTACCAAGACCAGATGCTGCACCAGTAACAAGACACACGAATCTCTGCATGGAAGCCATGTTGCATTACATAAGAGGAAGGGCTGAGGATGAACGGCTGGATTGGACCACAGGGGGCCCAGTGTTGGTGACCGCCGCTTTTTGATAATGATGGTGATGATGATGATGATTACATGATGATAATGATGATGATTAACGATACGAGATGGTGATAATGACGATAAAGATGATGATGATGAGGACGACGACGACGATGGTGATGGCCAATGACGATCAATGTAATAATTATGATCTATTGAACTCAAAGTGGGCAGTTTCACAACGTGACGTTTTTAAAAGGGTCATATATCATTTTCTAGCCCCCATTTTGCCCAAATCCAACCTATATTTTGCTGAAATCTCATTCTAATTCTCTTCTTCTTCTTCTTTTTTTTTGTGAATCCCATTTCCAGTGCATAACATCCCATTTTCCTAGCCAAAAAAAATTGAATCCAACTCCCATTTTACCCCTTCAGGACCCTCTTTTAAGTCAAAATTTAATGAATTAAGAAATGGATTTAACCTTTTCATTAAAAAAAAACATTAAAAGGAAATTAAATATTTTACAAATTTTCGTCATTTACGTCAATACAGTCAATAACAAAACCGCAGAAGTTTCATTTTTCAGTTCTTTTCTTTTATAGCTTTAGGCAAAAAAATCTCATTGCGTAAAGTGAGTGCTGAACAAATTAATTCCATTTTCACTTTGTGGGTTTCCATGCGTAATATTTTGTGACTGTCTCACCTCTCTTTTCACTGCAACACTGCCACCAATCAGAGAATAACTTTATTAATTTGAATATTTTGATTGCCGGAAGTGTATTGCCCAATTTCCCAGTCGTGACTGCTGTCTCAATCAGCGAGTAGCAATGAAAAGAGTCGTGAAAGCGTTCACTTGACTAGACACAAACTTTATTCAAGAATTTCGAGAAATACATACAAATGATGTGCGTGTCATCATTCGGGGCTTCCCCAGCGCTATATGTACCTCTGACGCAATCTGTAACCATATTAGGTCAAGGGGGTAACTGCCCCTCACCCATCTTGTCAACATAAATAATTATTCTGACGTAATTCCCCTATTTCGGAAACCACGTGGTAAATGAGACCAATCAGAGTTCGTTGCCAGGAAAGAAAATATGGCTGGTCGTTCGGAAGGTGAATTTTGTGAAGAGAGTTTCGTAGTGTTTTGGCGAMGAAAATTGAGGTCTCTTTAATTCTTTTCTTGATATTTTCCCCACTCTTTGAAGGGGGAGTGTTTGAAGAGCTCCAATGTGCGAATCGGGCATAGATCTTGGTTTCGATCTCTTAGAAGAAGGATTCCAAGTCGACAACTTCAGCAGTTCTTATTACGAGCTCAAATCTCATCCACTAGAGAGGTAAGTTTTTTCCCGTTTCTCGTTCCTTATTAGTGAAAGTTCTGTTAGATCGCAGTTCTATAGTGTTATGAGGATGTTGTGTGAGAGTTTCAAAGCAATCGGAAGCGATTTGAGTGTAAAAAGCGGCGAAAAAGCATGGCGAGGGAACTGCCCCCCACGCATCGAAAACACTACACGTGTATTGTGATTTCATCTTATTTTCGTCTTTTCCCCTCGCTAATTCTGCCTTTATTGAGAAAATGTTTGAAACCCTGCGGTACATATATTACTTGCTGATGGTTTATTTTTGTTAATTTATTGGAAGTTTTTCAAGATATTTCCACGAAATAAAGCAGCAAAGGATGTTGCACTCCTTCGATGCGGATATCCGGATTCGGTTTGAACAAATTCAACCTTCAAAGACCTTGCTAGATTATGATCGAAATTTGCTGAATTAAACCTTAAATAAACCTTCAAGTCAGAGATCTTAAAAGCTCAAAATGAATCTCACAACCTCCTGAAATTCTTCCATAATCTAGAACGTGATTATGGTTTTGGAAGTAATTTCTTTTCAAATTTGAAAACAGAAACGAAACCCTTGCCTGGTATGACGTCCATGAATAAATTTTTCGGCACTTAATAAAAAGAAACGAGCCTATACATGTTTTATCCATAACCTGATCGTATTACTCGCGAAGAGCTTAGCTCATTAGGGAAATGTTTGTTGAAAAATCATCTTTTGTTTTGCCTGTTCGTCTTTCGTGATGCAAAGTTAATACATCACTTCAGGGTTTTTATTCATAACCTTTATTACAACATAACTCATTCAAATTTATTGTTTCTTGATCATTAACTGTTCTACTTGGCTCCTTTCCAGCTTGCAGACTTAGCCACACACGTTTACATTATAATGTTCGTATTTGTGCTTTTCTAGAAGCTATTCATAGCAATGATAAAGAGAGCACAGACGATAAAACCTGGACTATTGAAATTTAGAATAAAGTCAATACGGTTTTAATACCTACATACATCTATAGCTGTAATCATTGAATTCCAAATGTTCATATATTTTATTTTCATTTAACCAGTTTTTTTGKTTTTTTTTCAAGTGTCGTTTACTTTTCTAGGAGAAAATGAAAGACAGAATGAACAAAATGGTTCAATAAGTCTTCCCCAGTATGAATTTCATGCATACTCTTCTGGTTGATTTTTATGCACATATAAATTCTTTACTAGAAAGCTTCAACACAGCTTGAACTGCAAAAGCTAATACAGAACTCAGCCAACTGTAAAGGTTCTATTGTTTATTTGTTGTTTACTAAGGCGATGTTATCACTTCAAAGTCTTGTGATCAAAATTTTTTCATTATTTTCTAAAATTAGAAACATGTTATTGGGCACTTTTGAAAATAGTTTTTGAATTTTCACCATCTTTTTAATATTTAAGTTGAAGTAAGAATCGTTTTCTTATTTTAAAGTTTTGATTATTCAAGGTCATAATCAAAATCTACAATTTCTTACTTGCATGCTTTGGAAAAATATATTCTGAATGTATAGATATTTGAACGTATCTAGCCTTGAAGGTGATTCCCCCTGTAACTCTATATAGTTCGTTAAAAATAGATTTCAAAAAACGATTGCATCATGAAATCAAGAGTTCGGCAGGATTGATGCTACATCATGCAGAATTTTGATCCTAAGTTAAGATAACCTTTGATGTTGTCTGACTCTTCTTTTTAACTTGGCAAATTGTCATCATTTTTAGTGCAATATAATAGAATTRTAAACAAATTGTACATGTGTGATATACATGTATAAGCAAAGAAAGACAGATTTAAAGAAAAGAAAGCAATTTAGGTCCTTTAGTTTTTCTACCTCTGCAAAGAGAAAAGAATAAATTAATGTATTTTCTCCTCCTTGAATTGTTTAGCCAAAATTCTAAGATTAACAGGAAACTGATTATAATAGTAGTTCGCTGTACAGCACTTTATTATCATTTATATTATATTGATGGCTATCTGGGTGTGACATCGATGTCACAAGGTGTGTTAAAATCAATATCCATATAAGGAACCAACCGTTGTGTGACATATCAAAGAGGAAGTGGTTTCAAAGTACATTTTCCTCCCTAATGACATATATGGCTTGTCAGGACTTGTGCCCTTTGATTTGCTTGGCTTAATTTCAGTGTATATCAATGGATTTGAGTTGGATTTCAGTTTTATCCCCAAGAGTTAGAGAAACAACATCTCACATTCTTGAAGTCTTAATTTTGTTTTGAAATTTTAAGATGACAAAGTCTAGAGAGCCACAGTTGCGCTACTACAATAATGGAGCTTTATCAAGTTCATTTAAATTCAGCCAAACTAATCCTTATGTTTGTCACAGTGTTCAGGAAGGTTCTGTGTTGGGTCTGCTGTTAAGTACTGGAAGTGTAGCACAGACTACCTATACACCTACACCAACCATGGCATCTCCAATGACAAGAACAGTATTTAAACAACAGCTACAAAAACAACACCTCGAGCAACTTGAACAACAGGAAAAGAAATTGAATCAAGCAGTAGCACAAACAAGTCAAGAATCTCAGAGCATATCTATACCGTCTAGCATGGGTGTTAGTTCTGCTCCCTCTTCAAGCTTGCCACATGAAGTACCCACAAGTGTATTACAGGTAAGTTATTTTTATAATTGTATATTTTTAAATATGTTTTAATTCCTTTAAATTTTATCGGATTTTGTCTGATGTTTTTCCATGTGCAATTATTCCAAGTAACCTTGTTGTCTATTTCTATCCCTAAACTTTACCTGACATTATTTGTATATTATAATAATAAGATTATATTTTAATTCTAAATTTAGTGTAGATGTGTTATTTATTTTTAATCAAACTCGTTTTCAATGAAAATAATAATTAATTAATATTAATCTGTAACTTGGTTAACTTAATGATCTGATTTTTTTTACAAATATTTTTGATATAATATAAATAAACTTTGTGTCTACAGATTTCTATAATAAAATGTTATTTTATCTTTATCTTTTTTAAATTAATTATTCCTAAATGTTACAAACAAGATTTGAACTTAATTCAAAGAAATCATGTCAGAATTTAAAAACAGTGTTATTTCAATAAAATATGTCAATAATTAATAATATTGCATGGTGTGTGCTTTTATTAAATGTAGTGGTAGCGACTGTGCATTTCCATAAACATTAGTCTTTTGCCAGAGAGACTCTACAATGACTCCCCTTTATTATGATGTGAAATAAGAAGGATACAGTATTTTATAGAATTGTTTACGAGTTTTCTAACTTTAAAAATATTCTCTCTTCTTTTAGGTCAAAACAAAGCTAGAAAACCCTACTCGTTATTATGTAAACCAACAACGAGAGAGACAAGTAAAACAATATTTGGAAACACATGGAACTCTTTCGTTACCAAACCACCTTTTGGAAAATACAACAACGAACAATATCTCAAATAGCCAACCAACCTTAAATGCTATAAACCAACAAGCTATCGCAAGCTTGGGAGCAAAAAGAATGAAGCCTCCACCGAGTCCTATGTCTGTGACGAGTCCTGACGGTATGGGCAACTCTGAGGTACATGTAAGTCAATGAGAAGTATTTGTTAAATTTTAGGTTTAAAATAATAATAAAGATTATGGTGCGTTTCATTCTCAGTGACCTAGAAAAGCATGTTTTAACTTTTGTTAATGCTTTTATCTGTCAAACTCACAACACTCCCCGTTAGAATTTTTAAAACATAAACATTTTATGCAATAGACCTTTTTCAAAATTAGGTGAAAAACTGCTTTTTATTGTCCAAATATTCACAATTAATACCACCAGTAAAGTAAAAAATGCACAACTTCAACRATAGAAACACTTTGAAACTCCACTGAACTTCACTGGAACACATGAATATTTAAAGTAATTCCATACAAAGTCAATGCTAACTCTGTAGAACAGAGAATTYGAAACTGGAGTATCGTAAATTTGCTTGTTCTAGATTCCATGTTATTATAAGCAGTGTATGACATTCTAGCAAGTATTTAATTTGGATGATCATGCATGAGTGGCAATATTGCATGAGGCACACTCACGTCCAYGTGCTCCAGTGGTCCACTTGTATAACATCATGTTATATTGAACCTCGTGTCACAACTGTTTTATTTTTTTGTCACGTACATCATCATACCATAAAATCTGAAATGAAATAATATAATATAATTCATATAGCCATTTAGGAACAAAATGTTAGCATTTTTGGACTGCATCATATATGCCTATTACAGTACATGTACCTGGTCTGAGTAATATCATCATCACTTGCCAGGAAAAAGTTCTCATTACATTTGCTTCATTGACAGGTTGACAGCCTACTGGATGACATAATAAGGTACATAACTAAAAGAAAACCATCTCAATTTGTTTATTTATCATTTAGTTAGTATTTCAAGACTGACTTGAAATGTTTTGGTTCATCGTTTAGTTTGGAATCCAATCAAGGTGACGATGTCTTAGCATGGCAAGATCCATCACAGGTAAAAATTTGTATTTTTTGTTTGTACGTGATGAATAAAATTATATGATTGTCAATAAATTTCAAACTGTTCAATAATAGCAATTTTTAGAATGATTAAAGTAAAAACTAATTAGCATTTTACTAATGTTATAATATTTAGACACTGGATAACAAACCTGTAGCTTTTATTCCATGTGATCAAATTGGAATTTACAGTCAAACCACCTCAAGCATGAACACGTAGAGGTCATTRATGACTTTATTTTTGGATTCTTGATTTCATTATTCGATTTGAACATTCACTGGTACCCATTTATTATAAAAAACAAATCTTCAAAGCCTAGCATATACAAAATCCAAGCATATATGCTGCTGAAATGTGAGAGCAACTTTTTGTGCAGGAATATGTAATATTAATGACTTACCTTCTGTTTCCACTATAAACAAGAGCCTACGAGCCAAGTTAATCAAAGTTGCAAACTATTATTATTTTTTGAATATTGAATATTCGTTTTCAATAAGAAATATTTGAATCGAATAATGAAATGAATCCAAAAACAACAATAGTCATAAATGACCTCTATATGTTCACACTTGAGGTGGTTTGTCTGTAAAGGTTTAATCAAAATAGGAAGATGTTCTGGAAATTGTAATTAAAATTGACATATTTGTTTGTATTAGATTCCAACAGCAAGCAGTATGTACGACTTATATGGAGGTTTAGGATTGACACCCATGGTAAGTAAGATATCAAGAATTGGTTTGTCATTTCAATTCATACCGTTTACGTTTATTACTAGACAACGCTTTGGCATCAAGTCTAGGACCAAATTGATTAAATTATAAGTAGTTCATCAAATTATTATTATTAAGATTTTTGTTGACCAAATTGTAAATGCAAATAACTAATGATAATCATGTAGTAAAATCTAAAAAATAAGAATGATAGAATTTGAATTAAAAATTCCATCATATTTAATTACTACCATCAAACAGCCTCTGGGCTGATCAGAGTTACAGCATGGGTAACTCAGATTGAATTGGAATTTAGTTAGTGGAATTTAGGTTTGTTGAGAGAGGAAAACCAGAGAACCTCAGTGGAGAAAAACTCTCGAAGCTACTGCTTGATCAGTTATCAATATCATAGAGCTGTTTTTGTGTTTCTTTGAGCAATCAATTAAAACTTTTCCATGTTCAGTGTTATAGATTAACATGGTTGATGAAGCTAATAGAAACAGAAGAATTAAAATGTTCTCTGTTTTGAATTACTTGAGTAGAAATAAGCATGGAAAAAACGTATTTCTGTAGTGTTTTTGTTGTTGTTGAGAGTTTCACATTGATAGCAATCACTTGGTCCAACAAATTAATGGCGAAAAAAGTAATGATAAAGATGTGTAATTTTAATTGTGATGGGGGGAAAACACAGAACTGTGACAAGGCCATGTGGTATGGTCAAACTCACATAATACATTAGAGTTGTCTTGTCGTTATACAACAGTAAGTAATAAACATTAAACATAACATTTACACATAAATTTTGCTTTTTGTTTGTAGGTCAATAACACTGGAGCACCATCGTCATGTCCACCTGCCATTCTTCAAAATGAAAGTGAGTTTTATAAAGGGACATTTACACTAGCAATAATTATTTTTTTGAGATACTTGAGTACAGATTTCAGTGGTAATTTTACAGTGAAAGATTGCAGCAGAGTCACTGCAATTTTAAACATGTGCATACTTCTGCAAGGTTTTCAATAAAGCCCCGCACACACAAGGGAGCTTGCTCAAGCTGGTATTGAAAACCCTTCTTCTTTTTTACTGATCTGCATCTTTGCATTTTCAAGTAGAAGTTATTGATCCACATGCATATGCAAGAGACAGACAAAAGAAAGACAACCACAATATGAGTAAGTTGGAATTACGTTTTCTGGTATACTATTATCGTACCTCAAGAGACAGGTAGTAAATTTCTCCTTTCCAACTTCACCATCCTTTCTTTGATTTGAATTTTTAGTTGAGCGAAGACGGCGGTTTAATATTAATGATCGCATCAAAGAGCTTGGAACAATGCTGCCGAAGCAGGACTCGTAAGTAAACTACTGTAGACAACTACTTGTAGCAAACTGATTTTCCTTGGCCAATTAAAAGATAGTAAAGGTTCTGACACACAGTGCAACATTGTACGCAACATTGCAAGCAACAAATGTGAATTGGGGTGACACACATTGCATCAAAATCATGCAACATGGCTTTTGCCAGCCTGATATGTTAAGATGTATGGTCAGAAGTTATGGATTTGGTGCAGGCCGCTTGGCTGGAAATTTCAAAATGTTGCAGGTAATGTTGCAACCATGTTCATACGATGAAATTTTTGTTGCGCGCAATGTTGCAAGAGTAGAGCGCAATTCAACTTCAGATTTGTTGCATGCAACAAGTTTGAGGTAGAGACGCTGCAACAGTCCGGTTTCGTGCAATGTTGCACCGTGYGTCAGCACCTTAAGCATAATACGTAGTAGTAGTCACTAATTTCAGTTTTCTTTTGTTTTACTTTGACTATAACTATAATGATTATTATTATTATTACGACTTTGTTTCACATTCAAAGTAAAATCTTTCTAATTTCATGTGTAGTGAAGATTACAAATGTACCTAATGAACTTTCTCGTTCCAAATCAATTCAGTACTTTTGTTTGGGATAGTTTCATGTTGACTTCTTCTCTAGAAATACCAGTAAAAAAATGAAGAAAAAAAATTCTAGAATTAAATGTGATTTGCAAGGAATTTTAGAACTAACATGAAGTTTAATAATTRAAAGTATCTTCAAACTCATTTCTCTCATTTTTCAGAGATATGCGGCAAAACAAGGGAACCATCCTCAAGTCTTCAGTTGACTACATAAGAAATTTAAAACGAGACTTAGATAAAATGAAGCGAGTAGACCAGGAAAAGAGACAATTAGAAATGATCAACAGAAAGCTGCTTCTACGAGTCCAGGTGAGAATTAATTGTATTTTGAAACATGCTTCCCATAATTTTTGGTTAGTATAGAGCAGGTGCATGTTACGTCATTGCTGCCATCTTGGTTGACAATAACAAAGCATTCCTCATTAACTTCTCTTGTTAGGCTCTGGCTAAACGAGGAAACATGTTTCCAGAAACATGTTCTAAATGTTTCCTAAGGTGGCAAAACTGTCAGGAAACATCGGGAAACAATGTTTCCATGCGTCTTGGAAACATGAAATGTTTCTGCCGCACAGCAAAAACATTTTTCGCGTCTTGAAAGCAAAATTTGTTGCACGCGGCGATGTTTCGCATGTGGCTAAACTGGGAAACATGCGCGCGGTAAACACGTTTCTTCGTTTATCCAGGGCCKTAGATTAACCAGGCTTTCATTGTTATTCGTATCTAAAGGGATTTTGAGTCACATGGTTGCACACACTCTATAGGGGAAAAGCTGTTATGTGTCTATAATAGGGGAAGGGGTGGGAATAACCCCAAAACTTTGGTCTTCTCCAATATGTAATATATTTGGTGGCTATCATTGCTTTTATAAGTTCTAAAAATAATACAATTTTTGCAGTTTTCTTTGTATTGTTTTTTCTTTGTATTCTCTGTTAATTGCCCCCTCTCATAATTATGATTCTTATTGATAAAACTAAAGGTTTTTTATGGTTCTCAATAATTATAAAACTGAATTGTAATGTTTGGGGTTTTTAGGAACTGGAAATGCATGCTCGAGCGCATGGCATACCAACTACTCCACTAACAGCAGACACGAGTACTGCTTTACTGTCCACAGTGCTTGCAGTAAAATCAGAACCGGAATCTCAGCTAAGCTGTGACTTCAGTATAAAACAAGAACCATTAGATCCAAATGAGTCAGCAGAAGCGATGGAGGCCTACTCTTTGGCATCATCCAGGAACCCAAGTCCAGGAAGCGTAGATATGGATGATGATGACTTATAGTGCGACTAGGAAGGGCAAGTCAACTTACTTGATAAAAAGCTAAGGCTTTGGTCAAGTCCTGCTTGCTCAGGACGGTCCTGACCAAGCAACTGAAAGATGTCACTACTCACAGCAAAAAGATTGTGAATGAAATCTTTATGCTTCAAGAGAAATGTGATTGCAAACCGACTGTACAAAGTGCTGCTATTAAAAGCGCTTTCCAATGACTATGTTATTCTACTATAGTCTGAACTACATGGGAAGGACCGTAGTAAACGGAAGTAGAAATTTGTAGAAACTACTTCTATTCATACACTCGTCATAAAAGATACAAAATAAGACGAAAAAAGTCTTGGTAAATTCAAGGACTAATAGCCTAATAACAATAATAAGGTTTTATATTTAAAATTTTGATAAAAATAATGGATAATATTCTTTTTCACAGTTCCCTTCAGTGACCACGAATAATAGTTCCAAGTCGAGATGGAGTTACCGCCCGTAGCAAAGCTATAGTTCGCTCCAACCAAGGGAGAACGGCAGAATGATTTCTTCCCTTGCTCCAACATTGACTTAGAACTGTTATTGAACTGGAGGGAACTAAAAACAAGGAGTAATATGAATGATGCTTAGGTAATGAAAGTTTATCAACATGGGTTGAAAATTCCTTTTAAAATTGTTTTCTACATCATAAACACAAAGTAATGGAAATTGCAACACAAAAATAAATTTAGAAAATATTCTCGCAAGTCCTAATATCATGATTGTTTTGACTGGAATTAATGTAAGCGAAAAAGATTTTTTCTTTCGTTTTTTCATAGTTTTAAACGCATTTTTTCCAACATTGAAAAGTTTTTGTTGGGGTCATAGATGTAAAATACCTCTAAAATTGACAAAAACTATGCCATTAAAGTTTTTAAATAACAACTAATAGAATAGATTGTATAATAAAATGGCACCGTGGTTTAATAAAGAATTATTCTTCCTAAACGTTTGTTTTACCACTCTCTTCCACTTTCTTTGGAGAATACTTTCGATTATGCCAAGCCTCTTGCAGTGATTTTTCTTGTGCTCTTATGAGTGTAGCCTGCGCAACGGCGGCGCGAGATTGAGGGAGGGTGGAGGAATCCTCAAACTCTAAAGTTTTGTCAAAATCATTTTATTCCCGGTTTTGCGTCGGTTAAGATTTCTCAATTTTTATTTAATTTTCACAGACTTTATTGTGAAAAGGGAGAGAAGACATCAATGCAGTTTTTTTCTGTCAAATTCGAACTTTTCCTTCTTTAAATTTTCATTTTTTTCCGGAACTTTATTTGACAAAGAACTCAGTTAATAGACTTTTTTCGTCAGTGTCCTTCAAATGAGTTTCACAAGGCTGACATTCTATTTGATTTGAAAGCCCCAAAGTTATGAGTTTAGGAACAAATACCATCATTTAGACACTAAAGGCCCCTTTATCTAAACAAAACGAGCTTCTCAGAAAGCGGCTCTCTTAATCGGAAATGTCGGTCCATTTTTTTAAATGACTCTGGTTCAATTTTATTTTGTCATGGTTTTTTTAATCTCTTTGCTGGTTAATACCTGTATTAACTTGTTTTAATCAAGAACATGAATTTTAATGTTAAAAAAATACAAGAAAACATTGAAAATCAACAAGAAATACTAAGTTTTAATATCTCAAAGAAATTACCAGTTTAGGTGACCTGTCTAGTGTGATAAAAGTTCTATCCTAGTAGGAAATTTGGAGGTCACCATGTTAAAATATTATTTTGCGTTTTTCTGGCTTCTGCTATGTTATAAAAGCGTTGCTAAGACCGAAATTCGTTCTGGATATTATCAAAAGCTACAAGAGGACAAACAGAACTTTATAATACTGGCTCGCACTAAACAACTTGATGACTTTGCTTGTGTTCTTGCTTGTACACATGCTAAGCTTGCAGAATGCAAAGGAGTCATTTACAGTGCTCAAGATGGTTCGTGTTTCGTAAAATTTGATGAACGTGAGATTGGAACAATATTACCAGAAGATATAATCTTGTATAAAGGAGAGCCGAAAGGATGGTTTCACAAAAAGGTAGGTTTTTCATCCCTCTCGTGACTTTAAGTTTGATTTATTTTATTTAATTTTTTAAATATTTTGTTTGAAATTATTAAACCCGAAATTAGTATAACAATATAATATAACGAATCATTTAAAATATATATTAATTCTTTTAATCTTTTATTTAAAATCTTTTTATTCCAGATTTTCTAATGTCCTTTTGGAGCACAAAAATCGACGCTGTTTCAATTCAAAGGGAATAAAACTTTTATTATACATCAAGAAGACATCCAAAACCTTCTACGCTTGCAAAATTGTTTTCTGTGTTAATTTTCATTTCAAATTTTCATTTTTTTCCAGCCGAAAAAAGAGGTTGGTTAAATTTATATAAAATTTACTCGTAATATTTTTTWAAAAGTGAATAAGGAAAACTCGCGAATAAGAATAAAATAAAAACGAACAAATGAAATATAAAAATCTTCTATTCTAAAAGCTATTAGATGTAGAGCTATTTAGTTTATATGTAAGTTAAACAAGAAGTAATGATAGAAAAAGATAGATGAGATGGAACAAAACTGAATAATGTTTTCACCAAATATATACCATAAATTTGAAAAAATCTTGAAGTCAAATGAATCTTTAATTTCAAAAGCTAGAGTGAAGGCACTTAACCCGTGAAATAAAAATTATTAGTCAACATGTATAAATAGTCAAATAGACACACAAAAAAACAATGGATCTACTAAAGTATGTTAGTCTAATGTCCATTGCAGGGGTTTAATGACTTCACTCTATGTGGTCCTCGTAAAATTAAATAAAAAGATAAAAAGAAAAAAACGAAATTGAGAGGAAAAAATTATTTGAAGCGCCCAATAAGGGACTCGAACCCTTGACCCTCAGATTAAAAGTCTGATGCTCTACCAGCTGAGCTAACCGGGCAACTCATGTAAWTTTCATTATTAAATATCGACCCCATATTTAACTATTAATTAATTTACGAGCTAACTTGAATTACATAGCCTCTAGCTTAAAGATAAATAAAATTTAACGCTTTAAGTCTTGTACAGCAATAAATGATTAAGCTAACTAAGCCTTATTAAAATGATTGTGGAAATAATGACTTGAACGGCTTTAGTTCAGAAACTTAAACTTCAGCTTACCTCCTTGATTATTTTTGATTCCAAGTGTTATTTATTTACTCTTCCATACATAGATAAAGGCAACAACGGATGAATGTTTAGATATATGTGTCCAATCCTTATTTCGAGGAAAAATATCGCAAACAAACCTCCAACCAACCAACTTCACCGGAGGCTGGCAAGGCGAAAAACACAGGAAGCCCAAGTACAAAACCATACTTACCACAGGTTTCCCAACTCTCCTTTTCAAGAATTAGATGATAAAAGTTTATCTTACGACGAAACCCAGGCCTTTTTGGTATCTTTAAAGTTTTGATATTATAATAATAGACTTAGAATTAGGTCTTGGAGCTAAATCAGAAAGCAATAAAGTTGGTTATTATTTTTATTATTATCAAATAATTGAAATCACAAAGGGTTGATTGAAATATATTTGTTAAGCTAGAAGACCTGTGTCTTAATTAAGAAACGTTATTTGCATAGAAATAAATTGAATGTATGAACTTAAAAATCCGGTATAAGTTGTAATGAAGAGTGGATAAATTGAATCTGACAGCATTTCTTGAATCATTCAAATTACACGATTTTATTAGCACGTTCCACCGTCGGAAGTTTCCGTAGTGTAGTGGTTATCACGTGTGCCTAACACGCACAAGGTCCTGGGTTCGAGCCCCAGCGGAAACATTTTTCTTTTTTCAATTTTTATTCTAAATTTAATTTTGAATGTTAGTTTTTTCCTTCGATCTTCATCTATTTTAATTCTTTTTTTAGTAAACATTTAAAAAAAGTAAACTGAACTTGGCTAATTTGCGTCACATATCTTGTCACGYGATATTACCGACTTTCCCTTCGTTTCGTGTCTTTTTATAATATAATATGAAACATAAAAGATGCTCTTCCAGATATCAATACTCAAACGTTTCTTTTCCTTTTTATTGAAAATTTCACTTTTTCACGACGTATCATAAAGCAAAGATGCAGTAGCTTTATTCTAATGGCATTTCAAAATTCGGTGAAGATTTTCAAAAGCGTGTGTATGAGAAAGGGGACCATAGCCTCTATATACACCACCATGCTACCAGTTATTCGTGCCTTCCGTCAAAACTAACAGTATAATTTCTGGGTACACAAGACGGACCTGTGGGGGTCCCAAATCGATTAAAAGAAGGTGTATACTTCTTATCAGTAGGTTTGATAAGTACCGCATTTGTAGATCCCATAGAAGGATCGTCATCAAAATAGTTGAAAGGCAAAATATAGAACCCTGCCGAGCTTCCCGTAGTAGTGGTGGTAGGTATATCTTCAGAATGGGGTATATGCATGGCGCCTATGGTCACCCAGGCGACCAGGTCTTGATTGACAATGCTCTCATTATCAGACAGGTATTTCCTGAAGTCTACGTGGGGGTCTGTGGGTGCGTTTTGGTTGTAGAGGGAAGTGCTTGTTCTCTCGCTGTCCTTGTACCTGAAACACGAGTAGTTATGAGTTGTTTAAGCATCGGAAGTGTTGGTGGAGTAAGGGGGGGCGGAGGAGTTCAAACCCCCAGGAGAAAGTGCTGCCTTAGTGATTACCGATCTACAAATTGTTAGCCTTTCAAGTGCCGGTTCAGATGATAACTTTAAATAGTCGTCCCTTCTCTCCACGCTTCATCATTACTAACCAACATCGGAGGGACATAAAAGAACCACTGAGGACGTAAAGAAACCCTGGCAGTGACCACCCTCAGTGCCTACACCTCATACTATAAACCTTACGGCTATGGGTATAGATCATACAGAAAGGGTGCTATATAAATGATACTCACTTGGTGACAGCGAGCTGATAGAGAGACCAGCCTATCATCGGGACCATGTCCCAGTCTTCAGGATACAGCTGCTTCATAATCCCGTGATGCTGAATCCGATAGCCTTTTTTGACTCCCATCTTATTCTTACTGTTCTCATTGAAGAAGTTTAAATACTTTGGATGATCAAAGTTGAACTTGTAAGCGGCTTCTTGTTCTGTCTTTTTCGTGMTGGGCTTCAAGACTTTCTTGACAATGTACCTGTTTTTTTCCGGAAGCCATCTGTCGGTCACATTTTCAATTCCAACTTCAATAGTCTCGTAGGAATTCTGTCTTCCCGATACATCCAGATCAACTTTATAGTTAAGTAGGTGGTCATGAGTGGTGCTTGTAAGGTTGTTGCTTTGGATGTTGTAACCATAGGGCGATACGTTTTCGTTGTAGAACGAACCAAAAACGTATCCAGTCATGGAGACTTTGACTTCAATCGCTCCAGACTGATAAAATATGAAATCATGAATGTAGTCGTAGTTGCCTACTGTAGCAACGGTTCGTAAAACGAGTGCCTGAAGTGAAATAAGAATAAAAAGTTAAGTTGCACTTACAGCACGTATACATGGTACGACATGCCGTAACTAATGCGCGCTCCCCTAGTCACAACCATACGTCGTTCATTAGTACTTTCATTGGCGTTAGCCACGCCTCTCCACTTCCTCCTAGTAAGAATCCTTTGTCACTCCTTACTCATCTAATAATTTAATGTCTCAATTTTCCTCCATTAAAACATACCTAGGTTGCCCCCGAAATAGACCCCTTCTTGGAAATGTCCCCTTAAACAGTCCCACAATGCACTGTCATGCAAACTCGACCCAGTTTTCCCCTGAATCTCGGAACATTCTCTTAATTACCTGGCCTCCCACCAAATGCTACTTTTCCTTCCCCTCTCCCTTCCCCCTAACAAATGACTCCTTTCTCTCCTACCCTCTAAAATCAGTGTCTCGTTTCTATCAGGAATGTGATGTGATGTCACGTACCTGGTTCACCATTGAACCAAAGAATCTGTAACCTTGTATGAAATCATTATCGTAATGTCTCCTCAAGGGAATACCAGCGTTGAGTTCGAAAACACAGACTGCATTCTTGACCGTAAACGGATTATCACTATACGACATGTGCACAAGATCAAAGAAGGTCGCAGTGCCTGGACAATCCGTACCTGGGTGAAATAAATGGACAACTAGTTTGATAATAGATCTAGTGATCCATTGCTTTGTTCGCATTACATAGGATTGGTTAATAGGAAACTTACTCACAGCAAATTCCACAGAGAGCCCAATTTAGATAATAACGATAACTGTGCGCAAAAAAATGTCGTAGTACATTTTTGATTATTTTTTACTTGTTTGCATATGGGAGAACACTTTCTTGACCTTCAATCAAAAATAATAATCAAAGTGTATAAAATAAATGATTATAAAAAACGAGTCGACCCGTTTTTTTAAGTTCACCTTTATTTAAGTTGGGCTCCCAGYGTCAAATTCCAAGTTCATTGTACTCACCTTGCAGAAGGTCGTGACTATTAGTTCCCATCGTAAAGTAGAAATTATGCGTTCGGTGTGTATATATTAGTTCCCATCATGAAGTTACTATCCAAAAAATTGTTGCTCATATGAACAGGGTAAAACCCCGTATAGCTAGCAATCGCCTCCTGCAGACTTATCTCGTATGCTATCCGATCACCTCCAAATCGGACATCGTATACTTGCAGACCACTGGAGGCATCTATACGAAAATCAAAGGCCCAATTCATATACTCAATGTGTTTGCCCCTAACAGTATAACGCCTTCCATCGGGCTCGTAAAACTCAGGTTCTCGAAGGGGTTTCTCCGGTTGTGCTTTGCCACGTCTTTCATATGTAAATACCTTCTTTTCTTCGTCACTCAATGCAGGGATAAATGTCTTGATAAGAGATGCATTGCGATAAGCCGCCATTAGCTCCTCCACAGAATCGAATAGTTGATCGTTGTACAAGACCTTTTCAACTCTCCATTTCGAGGGGTCACTCCCAGCATGATTAACGTAGAATTCAAAATTTAATGGATGAATGTAGAAAGGCAAATCATGGCGATAAAACCCGAACCAATTGTCTCTGGTTTTACTGGTGAGGCCCATTGGCGCAGCGAATTGCACAAACAAGCATTTCTCTACACAGTTGTCGCCATAGGAATAGCCATCGTAACTTTCATTGATTAAATCATGAGCTTTTCTTCCCACGTCCGTAAAGATCACATTATGTAAGACTATGCCTTCTTGAGTTGAGAATGGCCTCGCGTTAAAATTGATCGGATATTCCCTTCCATCAACCTTCCTTAGTGTATGCTTGGTTGGAGCATCGACGGGTCCTACGATATACTCCTCTACGACTGCAGGTTGGGATGCGCCTCGGAAGACAACCACGATTGCCTGACGTTCGGGTTTCATCGCTTTCTTCTGATCAAGATAAGCCAACGCATCGTCTTTCGAGGGTGGATACAGCTGAATAATTGCAATGCGGTTGGAATTGATTTTGAGTTCTTGGTTAGGTTTGAGATCCAGAGGCTTTACCTGGAACATATAGTCCCGAACCTTCTTTATCTCGAGTGCGCTCAAATCATCAAACAGTCCTTGATGTGGTGGCCCTGATGCGGAGCTTAAAGTAACGCTTACATCCATGCCTGAGGCACAAACCGCTGCCTCTTCTTTCTTCTTATCGCCCTTAGATGCTACAACTATCAAGGCGATTAGAAGAGCAATACTGATGATTATGAATAGAATTGTCAGCCACTTCCATAACGGTGATACTTTAGCCATATTGATCTCTTCGACGCCTCGAAAGACTAGGCCGTTCGAACAAAGGTGTTAACCTCTTAAAAATAAGGTCATGCAAAGTCTCTGGGTTCAATCTAAAATCTGGCTCCCCGTCGTTTAGCCCAGAATATTCATCAATTTGTCCAGTACAAGGTACAAGCCTTCCCGTCCAAGAGATTAAACAATACCGTGATTTAAGGATGACAAAGGAACAATAGTGTTTTGTTTTGTTTCACGAATAGTCAAGCGACAAGATATATATTTACCAGCCCATTCAGTGTCACTTATCGGGGGTCAAGTCAAGTCAAGTTTATTTCACACACAAAAATTACAGTAAAGAGAAAATAGGAATATTCATATAGAGTTTAACAATTATAAAATTTACAGAATAAATATTTACAAAGTGAGTTCAAGTTAGTGTGTATGGCTGTTGAAAAAGTATAAACTATGGAGTCAACAGTCAACAGGGAGGGCGAGGGGAAGGAATGTATTTTGAATGTTTTAGCAACGATGTTAAAAATGCAACGCAAAAAGCTTTTTGTGTGTGTGTGTCTATTTGACTATTACACAAAACACATGTTCGCCTCCAGTCATGCCTCCAGCCATGTCCAATACTGATACAGATCGTCAGTGATGCGTGCGATTCGTGAAAATCATAGCCTGCGTCACATCCGGAATTTTCTTCGTAAATATGAAGAAAATTCCGGATGTGACGCAGGCTAGAAAGTCATTGATATTCATAAAACATACATATCATTAGGTGTGTGCACTTAACCTTTCACGGTAACCCTAGTGCTTGTGTCACCGTTTGTGTAAAATGGTTATGGTCACCCTGTGGTAGTTCCAATGATCCCATAGCAAAAAGTCAAAACATGTCAAAATAAGTCCTCAAAGTACTCTAACTCATAATTTTTACCGCCTGAAACCAGAAATCAAAATATACATACAACCTCCAAAATCCTTCAAGCTTTCAAATGTAAGTTGACCTCCTCCCTCCCCCGCCACCAGTCAAAACACAGATATTACTGCAAGTGACATCTATTGATAGAAACCAATAGGAAACGAGAGATTCCAAGAATGTCTCCCCCCCCCCCCCCCACCTTTATGCAGGATGGTTGTTTCTAGTTGGACAAAAAATTCCTTGTGTTTGATTGGCCCAGTTCCCTTCTTCAAGCTCCTCTCCCTCCAAACCCTACTTTCCTCCCTCCCCTTGATACTCATCTCTGATTGGACAAGGGAAAAAAAAGCTTTCTGGAACGTGATTGGTAGATAAAGGTTCATTATTCTATGGTCTAGTGYAGACTATCTGTACAATTATTTCTTGGTCCTGTTCTACCTGGATAATTAGCTGTTTTGCAAGGTTCTTTCCAAGCATGCATGTGTGAGCCCATGCTCATTAAGGTACCCCAAGAAAAGACGAAGGAAAGTTCGGGATGAGATGAGAGTTGAAATAAAGAAGAATAGATCTACTATTCCTTTACTGGGGGCGTTCCACGACCACTATAAACAAACACAACAAATGAATAAGATAAAAACTGAATGGACGAATGAATGGGAGAGTAAGTGAGTGATGGCGGGCGAGCGGGTGAATTGATAGATAGGTAGGTGGATGGGAGATGGAAGATGGAAGATGGAAGATAGGGAGAAAATGGGAATAGAAGGGCAAGGAAGGGTTAAGATTGAAGTAAAAAAGATCAATCAGTGAATGGATGGATGGGATGGATGGATGGGTGGATGGATGGATAGATGTGTGGATGGATGGATGGATGGATGAATGAATGGATCGATGGATGGATGGACGGATAGATGGGATCAAGACAACATTAGAGCGGCACTCGCCTTCCGTTTCCATCCATATTTAACTGCGGATACAGTTCTGCCTGGTTGCCATCAGTGTGCAAGCGCCCAGCAAACTCCTCATGTCTCTTGGCTGCTATCGAGTTCATTCTGYTCGTCCAGAGTGACAACAACGAAGGACCAGAAGAGGTTAGCCCTGTGATAAACAATAGACCCTTTTATCTTCGAAGTAACATTTCCAATTTCAAACCACGTGTCATTCTCTAGGTTATAATGTATACAACGAGAATGACACGAGGTCTTAAAAGGTAAACCAGTACACCCAAGAAAAAGATATTTCTTTAACAGAAAACTCAGTGACCATTAGAGAAAAAAGGTTTTAAAAAAAAAGCTAATGGAAAACATTATAGGGTACGGCACGGACACAGCACATCCACTGAACCAATAAAAGCACAAGATAGTTCCAAATAAAATGAGAATACTGGGATGTGGCGCCGTCACGGGCACGTCCAAAACTTTCATATAGATTGATTTAGTGTCCTTGGATTTCGCTTCATGATTTGCAAACCTTCCCACCAAAGATAAGTATTCTTTTATTTATCTACCACTTAGGAATTTTTTCGATTCTTTTGCACTACTGAATTCTGAAGAATTTTGTGTTTGTAAGCTTTCGTTTCACGATTGACGTCAACGAGATGCCGTGAGACGGCGTTATACACGGCTGTCACGGTACGGAATATTGAAGACATCATTTGCAGTGAACCAATCACAGTGCGCGATATCACTGCTTATCCAACCAAAATGCTCTAGGAAAGCGCACAATACGACCGTGCCGTGAGTTTTTTAACTGGCATGCACGACATTGTTTTAAGTTTTCCCCAGCCGTGAGAAATCAGTTGCAGTATTCTGGATATTTCCAAGTACATTATCTAACCTGGTTTTTGTGGTATATCTAGTCTATCGTCCGGTTTGAATTTCTTTTGCGAACGTTCGATGTCTGGTGTATTTCTTGGTCGTTTTGAAAAGTGATCGTTGTTAGCGTCTCCCCGGTTGAAGTCGGTTTTCTCGCGCTCTGACATACCATGGTACCTAAACATCCACATCATGATGAACATAAAAAGTTACGACGAGACAGACAAAAACAGCGTTATGACGATGAAGACAAAAACAAGGACGACAGCAAAAACATGCAGCAACTTGCAACAGCAGCAGCAACGACGTGACAACTATGACAATGACGAAAACAAAACTTCAGTGACGACAAAAGCAAGGTCGACAGCAGCGGCACCAACAATAACAACAATAGCAACAGTAGCAGCAACAACAACAGCAAATGCAACAGCAGCAACAACAACGACAACAGCAACAACAACAGCAACAACGACAACAGCAACAACAACAACGACAACAACAGCAACAGCAACGACAACAACAGCAACAACGACAACAACAGCAGCAACAACAGCAACAACGACAACAGCAACAACGACAACAACAGCAACAGCAGAAACGAAATGCAACAGCACTAACATGACAACCACGACAGTCAGGAAAACCAACTTCAAAAATATTCAAAAAAGAAGTCAATAGTAATAAAAATATATTGGGTAGAATAAACAACTCATGTGGACTACACCAACCTGTCTATTTCCCTCCATGCCAACTCATTCGACGAAAACCCAGAGCCAATATTCATTCCTGGAGGAAGAAAAATACAGTTTTTTGTAAAGTTATGTAATTATCTTTAAAGAATATATCAACAGTGTTTTATTATTTCTGGACTCGGTATTACATGCGCCAGTTTCCTCCCTCCACAAAATCCAACTAGGTTAATTCGATTTTTTTCAAAATTTCAATTTGATCTGGATTCAATCTGTGTATTAGTCATACCCTGACTTAGATCAGCCCAGAGCCGGGTTGTTTCATAGTTCGATCTGTGAGTTTGCCGTGCCCTGTCTTATATCAGCCCAGAGGTTGTTCCGAGGTTCGATAAAATTTTAAGGACTTATAACTGGCAGATTCATACCTTCTATCTCGTCTGTGGGCGTGGTTCGCATTGGGCTGCTGTGACTGCTATGGTCTGGGCTCTGGGGAACTCTTAAACAGTCATAAATCTAGAGAGAGAAACAAACAAAAATATATAATAAAACATTTATATTAAAATTTGTACAGGTTTTCCCTTGTTTTCATAGCGTAGCAGGGTACGTAGCACAGTAATGGACCAACTATCTGAACAAAAGGTTTTGTCACTTTGCTTCATTGAATTGTCAAAAAGATTTCTGTTTGTCAATTTAAATAATGATCAACCAAAACAAATCATACACCCACATGTAGGTGCTTCACCTCACCTTTTCATGCATCTTAGATGTCTTGGAAGCAGCATCCAGAAAAGTTTCGAGTTCTGCCCACAGTTGGCGATACTGTTCCTCTCGCTTAGGGCCTTTACCTCGCACCCCTGTTATCGTTATGGGAAGAACATCATTGCGACTTTCCATCGATTGGAGACGATAAATGACCTAGAAATGGTATTGTACTAGATTTATCATCAAGTATCATCTTCATCATCATATATGACCATCATCTATCATCACCATGATCATGTATCATCATCATGCATCATCATCATGTATCATCAT